TTTTATAATGAATGAATCTTGTTTTTTAGATTATGAAAAACCAAAATCTAAACTATTGTGACATGAAATTCAGAAAGAGCCAAAAATAAGAGTGTTGCGAGCCTTCCGTCGAGTCTGAAGCCATGGGTCCGTCGCCTCTTCAAAAGCGTAATGCATTTATTCGATTCTTAACACTTTTATCAACCAGCTTGATTAATGACAAGCCATATTAAGCTATGGTTCAGTTTTAAATCGATTATTTCAGTTCAATTTTGATCAAAAAATATAAATTTATATGAACTGAACACCTCTAATAGCGTATTTCCTCTTTTTTAAAACAGAGAATTCAAATTCAAGTTCTGTAGTACTAAAGAATATTTCTCTAACCGGTTGAGTTATCAACATTTTGTATGTAATGTATTAATTGTATGATTATAAAAATATCATTTGATTTCATTCTAGTCACTGGAGAAGACTCTACTCGAGCGCAGAAAAGGGTTGAAGTATAACTTTATGCCTACCTATTTACCAAGTAAAACATCAACCCAAGTAATGGATTAGAAATTATAACATTGGTCAATAAGTAAGACCGTAATTACGTGTGTTTCGATTTGAATATTCTTGTTTACTTTTTGCTGTTGTTGAGATTCCGTGGTGAAAAAACTAAATAATGTGTTTAAGTCTAAAATAGCATATTGATACTACAAATATTGGAAAGACTAGTTAGCCACATTATTCGATGTCGATTTCATATTATGAGTTATATTATTATAGGAATCATTCTTCTCTTTGTCGACAAGCTGGCCACATTTCTCGATATCGATTTCATATTAAGTGTGTATTATGTTGTGTATGATCATTCTTCTCTTTTGTCGAGGCTTGACCCAAGACCAAAAGAGGTCAAAGTTTGAAACTGGATGTCTGAAATTTGCTTATACAAGTCAATTACACAACATGACGTTAGAGGTAAAGTGTACATATTAATTTACGCAAAATAAACTGCGATGTTATGGAAAAATTAGAATTTTAATCACAGTATAATTTGGATGTGAGGTGTGACAAAAAAAAAAAAATGGATGTGGTTTAGCGGCTTCGATTTGTTGCGGACGATAGTTTTTCTGGCTTTTGTTTTTAATATACAATCATCAATCATTTTAAGACGAACGAAACGAATCTTCGATATCTAAAAGAATTTAGATATTTTCTATATATTAAAGGAGAAACATTCTTAAATCATTTTGTTTATGTGTCAAACCCTCTAATTTTCTTAAATTCTTAAATTGGTGGTGATTAGAATTATAACGCTGTTGACAAAAAACAAAAAAAAATTAATTCCTCTATATTCGTTACCAAAGACATTTAATTCCAAATAACTTATTATGATTTACTCTAATCCCACTTGCCAAACACATTAGAATATTTATAAACTTGCGTAAAACAACTATTCAAAGATTGTAAAATGAATTCTTACCATCAAAATTATTAAAAACTATACATTATTACTCTTATAATTACCTTAAACCTATAGGATTCAATATATACTTGCAGGATTTCATTTTGTATATTTGAATTAGAAGCCGTATCTTTGAAGATTATGATATTAATTAAATACATTTTATTAATACGTGATATACATTGACTAAAAAACTAAAAATTTGTTACTTTCAATTATTTCACGGGTGGGATATATTTATATACAAAATAATTTCAAAAATCATATTCTTATATATAAATGAGTTTTAGATTCCATATAATAATTTTTCCAATAATTAAGGATAATTTTTTAAATTAAAACTAAATTGATTTTACTCGCGTATCATATTATCCTGCGTATAACGCGGGTAACTATCTAGTTCGTATCAACGTCTACGGAAAGTAAAGCAAAACAGGTAGATCACTTCAAGCTCAAAAATATTTGATCCATTTGCTTATACCAGTATGGTGGATCTTCAACTAGATGAAATCACTAGCCTAATCTAATATTGAATGTATTTTTTTAATATCAACTTTAAAAGAAAAACTAAAAACATTTTTC